GTCTAAGGCAGGAAAGTGACTATCATTCTGAATTCAAAATTAAACAATAGAACTATCCCTTTCTCCCCCACCAAAAAAGTCTGTTTAAATGAGACTTTAACCAATATTCCCTGTTTCAAAAAATAGTATAGGTTTTAATTTGCTTTTTCGTAATCAATTTCAGTTTCATTGCTTTTTACCTTGTTTTGATTCTTTCCTTTTTGTGTGTTTCAATCAATAAATTTCTAACCTTCGGTCTGAATCTTATGATGTTTGCCATGGTATTAAGCAGGCTAAGCTCTCTCTAGATCAAACTCTAGACCTTGTTTCACCCTGTTTAATGTTGGACAGTAACTGGGTTATGTTACAACATCTTTGGCGTGTATAGTCCAGCTAAATTAATACAACTGTGTGCCCCAACTCATTCCTTCTACCTCCACCTTTCCTAGTCTCGATCCTAATTCTTACTCTCCTCCTCCTTCCTTTTTAATTCTGTTAACCCTCAGTAAATCCCCCCTCCTCTTTTTCCTTATTTCTCTCTGGTGTGGGTCCTTGTTCTGTTTGGTGGGTTTTTAAGGGTGCCTAGGATGCATAGCCGTCAGTGGGGGTTGCTGTTTGAGCCCTTTAACTTCTATCTCCTGGTTCTAATGATTCAACCAACACAACTCAGTTTGGATACCTGGAGCAGCCCTTGAGAGTCTTACACTGTAACCTTATTAGGACGGGGAAGTTATCTTCATATGCTTGAAGAGAGCTATGGAGGATGAGGGAGATACCTAGCTATATGTTTTTATGACTACTACATGTACCTCTATTACCTATTTGATATTACTTGGCTGGAGCTGCTAGTAATAGCAAAAAGGAAATGAAATCATGACAGAGATAAGATCTCCAGGGCAAATACTAAGAGCCCTTAAGAGAATAGTGATCGGGCTATTAACTGGGAAATGCCTACCTTCCCAACTCCAGCCAAGTTAACAGGCTTGTTTTTTCAGGGCTGGGGCCAAAAGTAAAAGGACACTAAATGGTAATAAATAAATACATCCTGCCTTGAGAGACAGGAGGGTAAGTGGGCCATGACTGCTGGAGGGAAATGCTGCAGGATAGATAAACCAAGACCCTGAAGTAGAGCAGCCTGTTCATTCCAGCCCCAAAGTCAAGGTACCTGGGCTAAGTGGAACTTACTAAAACTTGGATGGAACATATACGGTTTAGGTAAGAGCTATGGTATAGGCCTTTTGTTTTAATCCTTTTATCTGCTTGTTATGTACCTTTGGGTAAATAGAAAATGTTTGTTTTAAAACACTGTTTTAAGTCACTTTAATTAGCCACTGGTCATTTCCCCTGAAAGAAAGTTGCCTGCAATGACCAGCCCAAATTAGTCTTGCTAAAGGAGTCCTAGTTGGTAAATGGGAGGCTGCAACCAGAGATCCAGTGACAAGAGCTTATCACGAAAGGGGCCCAATCTGTTTGGGGCTTTTAAGTGCTAGCATAATACAAGTAATACAAGCCGCTGGATACTTCTCCAAATTCTCTGTGTGCTTATCCCTAAGACCCAGTCTGCCCTATTGGCATGCTCAAGGCAGCCACTGGGCACTCAGACACCAGCTTTGAAAGTCCCCTTGTCATCCAACTCCCATTTGAGTCCAAATGGCTACCTACTGCCAAACTTCTGAAAGTTTTTGCTGCTACAGAATTCTGAAAGCTTGGTTTATTACAAGATAATATCTTTTTATCTCCAGGACAGACAGTAGAATCCAGGCTATCGGTCCATAGTAGTGGAAAATCTGCAGGCGTGGTAATGCAATGGAGTAAACCACCCATAAACCATGTTTTGCTGAGATGTTTAGGGCCAGCAATGTGTCTCATAAAGTAGGTGGGGTCCAAAGGGATCAGGTTAGCCAGGAGGTGCATTGATTTAGTACGTTTCCTAGGGCAATCCCATCAGCAGCAATCCTAAGGAGCCCCAAATGGATTTTAAAGCAGCTTGTCTCCAACAGGAGCTAATTGCACCTGCAAAGTTGAATTTGGTCCTTAAACTGCAATATCTTTTCCCTCCTTTGTTTTTTAGCTCTCCCCAATCCTGCTGTTCGTACAGATAACTCCTAGACCTCAAACCACATTATGGCAACTTAACTGACTTACAGGAAATGCACAATTCATATACTTCATAGACAGAGACATATAATACAGTGATGAAATATCCCTGTTAATTCTATGGGAATCCTTTAGAATGGCTCTTATGGCAGAATATTTGTATTTGCCTTGGACAGAGAAAATGGAGTCCCTTGAAAATTTCATATTTCATTTAGAAACACGGAACAAGAAAAACCCAGTGTGAGGAAATCCTACTCTATGAAACACAACTGAGAGCACAACAAAAAGCTATCTAATTAATACAGATATTTAAACACAACTGCTCTGCACATGAAAACAAAGCATGTAGCTAGTTAGTATTCTGATTTTGATTTTTACTAGCACGAAAATTTTTACCTTTTTAATCCTACAGAAGCAAACTTTCAGAGATGTTAAGAAGGGTTTTACCCAGAGGATTTACTTAAGGATCATTTGATATGTTCCACATTTTTGGAGCAAATTCTGCCCTGAAATCTCTGGAACAACTGCATGAATTCTTCATGAATCTGTAAAGTGTGGGGTAAATTTTGAGATTAGTAAAGGGAATTTTTACCTCCCACACACCCTTTTAAAATGTTCTTCATAGCGAATAAAAACAAAATAATTATCAAACCACTGCTTTCAAGCTACTTCACTAGTATGTGAATCATGTTTTTCATATCCTATTCCCTCTGGTGATTTTAATAAGAAAATATTCAGATTTCAACTTTATGAATCCCAGAAGTAAATGTAAATGAATAAACTTCCCCTATAATTAAGATTAGATTAAAAACATGATGATCTATCTCAACTATTTGTCCTGAGCAAAATGTATTGGTAGTTATAGTTGAAGTTCTAGTACAGAAGCAGTGTAATAAATAATTGTGACTGGAGTCCCAGTGGTGCCACACTGAGATTGCTCAATCAGGGCAATCCCCAAAGAATGGGGCAGACAGTCCCCAAAACTGGTGGTTTAGTCTAATAATTAGATTCACCAAGCCAGCAACAAAACAGCTTCTACAATACCTTACTGGTTACCTGGAAGCCAAAACCACAGCTCCCTTAAAGCAATCCATCCCTGGACTCCCACTCAGACAATCAAGTCAAATATGATGAGGATTACTGAAAATCTTGTTCATAGTATAAAAAGTTCTTCCAATCCCAAAGGATCATTCACGTTGCCCACCAGGTCAATGAATATTTCAGATCTTATCCAAATACACATTTACAGCCAATTCTTATTAACTAAAGATTTATTAAAAGAAGAAAGAGAGAGAGTATTGATTAAAAGATCGTTATACATACAGATTTGAATACATTTCTTAGGTCAGTTTGATAGTAGAGATGGTGAGTTTCAAAGTTGCAAAGAGTTCATTCAGAATTAGTTCCATAGATTATAGTCAGATGTCCAATATCAGGGTGATCCAGACTGGAGCTGGAGACCTCAGTCTTGCGACTCAAACTTCCCCTGATGACTCTTAAGCAGATCTGAGATAACAGGATCAGGGCCCAAGAGTTCTTTTTATAGTTCTCTGGCAGCCTCTTGACAGCAGGTATTCCTTGGGTGAAGCATTGTAGCTTTGAAGTAGAATTTTCTATGTATTCACAGGAAATTAGTTGCATTCATCAGCATAAGGTAATTATCCATTAAACAGTTATAGACCGTTTACAACAAACTTCAAAGAGAAATATAGACAATGATGATGTTACACCCAAGCTTCATCAAAACGTTAATATTCCTTTTTGATCTCTGAATCAATAGAACAGGGGTTGGTAACCTTTGGCACATGGTCCATCAGGGTAATCCGCTGGCAGGCCATGAAACATTTTACATTGACCATCTGCAGGCACAGCCCCCTGCAGCTCCCAATGGCCACGGTTTGCTGCTCCTGGCCAATGGGAGTTGCAGGAAGCAGTGGCCAGCATGTCCCTGCAGCCTATGGCTTCCCACAACTCCCACTGGGCAAGAACGGTGAACCGCAGTCTCTGGGAACTGCAGGTGGTCGTACCTGCGGATGGTCAACGTAAACAAAATGTCTCGCGGCCTGCCAGCAGATTACCCTGGTGGGCCGCATGCCAAAGGTTGCCAACCCCTGCAATAGAACAGAGTGACAGACAGAAACTGTCTGATTACATTGTTAACTTCTGACAAGATATAGATAAACACAGACAAATACGATAATTATCTTCTAATTCTCTAATAATGCAACTCTACATTTCAAAGCTCTAGTTTATCTAACATGGAATGGCCCTAATTACCATTTACATATTTAAAAGTATGTTTCCAAAGGCTGGATTTGGGTCATGTAGCCTGCTAGTTGCTTAACCCTTTCTGGCTCAGTTTCACAATAATATGATGCAGTTTTCTCCATCCCATAATTTCAAGGACTTCCGACTGTGTTTCGTGCCATTTTTCAACTCCCCCTGTAAACGTTGCACCCACCATCTCTGCCTGAAAACATGGATCCTGCACTGCTCGCCAGTCTTGTGATGAGAGTTATGAACACAATGTGGCTGTTTCTGCAGTATTTTATGAGCTGCGAATCTGAACAGGAATCCATAGTACCTGCCCTGCTGTGTGCCATGAAAAGAAGCAATTCAAGATTGACGTTGGCATTCACGGAGCAGCTGCACACAGTGGCCTGTTGCTACTGGGCTCAGGGAAACAAGCACTGAGAGGTGGGATCGGATTGTGCTGCAGGTATGGGATGATGAGCAGTAGCTGCAGAACTTTCGTATGTACAAAGACACCTTCCTTGAACTTTGTGTAGAGCTGTCCCCTGCCCTGCTATGCAAGGACACCAAAATGAGAGCTGCCCTAACTTTGCTAGACACTAAAAATCATGGTCTTAATCAAGATACTGGTGGTGATGGCGGCTGCTGCTGCTTCTTTCTTTTTCATTATTATTATTATTATTATATTATATTTATATTATAAAATTATGTAACCCACTAAAGCCCACTTATTGTCCTATGACTACAGGGGTATTTACAGGCCACTTTACCTTGAATTGCCTCTTAGAATATGTGCTAACTACTTATGCTAAACTATCTGCTTGATCTTGTATTTAGCTGTGTCACTCTTGTACCTTTCCCAGACCTGAAGAGCTCTGTTTAGCCCAAAATCTTGTCTTTCTCACCAACAGAAGTTGGTCCAATAAAAGATATCACCTCATCCATCTTGACTCTCTAAAATGCAAGCTATCAGCCCAACAGTATGCTATCCACAAGGAAGAGGTGTGGTCTAGGTGGTGGGGGTGTTTCTTTCTTGTGGTTGTTCAGGGCCTATGTTTCATTCTGAAGGTGGTAAAAGCAGTGGTCATTCTCTTCTGATCTTTTTTCCAGTTTTTGTGCTTTTTTTGGTGGTTCTGGCCAGAGAAACAAACCAAGACCCATATAAAATCATGTCTGTTACTTAGATTCATTATTAAGTGTTTAAAAGTTTACTATGCCAGCATTCTGGTGGAGTTTTTCTTTTCACGGTTGGCTTATTCAGTAAAAATCATAGTGACGTGAACAGCTATGTTTTCATTCTGGCAAACCTGTAACTATTGTGGTTTGGTTTTACAAGGACTCAACGTGGGCATGTAGGTATATAAAGTTTTCTAGACTTTCCAGATTACCTCTGCTTGTTTGTGGTAGCTATATTAAGATAACTTCCTTTTCCTCTTCAAATAATTCTTGTCCTATTTCTACAGCTATAAGAGGAATTAAAAAAAACAAGCCCCATCTCTCAATATACATCCATGTAAATGCAGGGGCATGCAAAACCTCAATCCTTAATGTTGCAAAAATGTGGGTAAAATCATGCAACAAAACTCCTTTAACGTGAAATTTTTATTCTTCTTCGAGTGCTGTCCTGGTAGGTGCTCCACTCCAGGTGATGGTACGTCCCAGCGCCGTTGATCGGAGATCTTCAGTAGCAGTGCCTGGTCAGGACACATATGCTCAGCTGTTGTCTTGTTAGAGTCTGCCAGAGCGCACGCGTCCCGCACCCCCCTGAGTTCCTCTCAACCGTCTTCATCTGAAGACAGGACTCGGGGCAGAGCTGATCCTATTCCCTGGTCTCGGAAAGAAACAAGTACAAAGTCATAGAAATAGTTAGTTGGTAACATCCCAGTTATTTCCCTTCCTTTAGAATAGTTACTTAGTTTAAAAACAAAAAACAAAACAAAAAATCTTCTTTTCCTTAGGTTTGTCTGCCGTTGAGACACTCTCCCCTGGCATTCCTAGTGCAATAATTCCAGAGTCTTCAGGATTCAAGAAATGTGCTTCTTGTCAAGACTCTATACCAAGGTCCAATTGACACTCAGGTTGTATGAAGTGCCTCGGCGAGACACATGTCCCTGCCAAGTGTGTCCATTGTATGAGCCTCAAAACCAAGGCTCGTTGTGACACGGACCTGCGGCTGAAAATGCTCCTGATGGAGAAATCTCTACAGCCGCCTATGGAGACAGGCAATGGCAAACCCTCTCCCTCATGCTCCCCAGCCAGGTTGGAACCAGTTGGGAGCATGGCTTCACCCTCTCAGGCGAAGAGGCAGGAAGCCCAACTGTGCAGAGACTTTCAAAAGGGTAAAGGGTCTCTTGCAAGATCCTTACCCTCAGTGCTGACAGCACTGAAGGCAGGCACCTCCAACTGTCCCAGCACCTCAGCCACGGCTCCTGCGGAGCGCAGAGGCAGGGACCCGACTTCCCATACCAGGACGGTCTCCTCGGCACCGGTCCCCTCCACACTGAAAATAGACCCGATGCCGACAGCGCGTTCTCCCCAGTGCTGACAAGAACGTTGGCACCGAGGCTGCCTGCCATTCTAGCAGCAGCAGCGGACCTAAACAGAAGTCCGTGCACACTTCTGAGCACAGATCACGCTCAGCAGGATCACATCCCAGGGAGCAGCAGTAGCAATTCTTAAGTCAGGATGACTTCTCAGTGGCCCCTCAGCCTGACTCTCTGCTCCTTGACACACAGTGCTCACTCTTTGACCAGCCCCTTCCCCACCTGATCTGACTACCTTTACTGACAGCGAGCCTCTCATGCAGCAGCAGGCGGAGTTCTCCCCACCTGCCTCTCCTCCTCCACCGGAACCTTTTGGACCTCAGATCACGGCTCACAACCGCCAGCCTCAGTTTCCCTACTTCATCCCTCCCGTGGGCAGCACCTAACTTCTCTTATCCCATGCCTTGGCCTCAGTGGTATCCTTGGCCAGCTCCTGCTGCCACTCGCCCTCATGCTTCTTCCACCAGATCACAAGCTCCTTCTGTGCCTCTATCTCCAGCTCCGTCTACTTCTAGAGCACCTGACCCCCCACCCCCGGGGAGGTGGGGTATGGACCATGATTCACCAACTCCTAACTCTCCATCGGCTCCATTCAGAGCCCTGAGGCCTCCGCCTCCACAGAATGTGGACGACTTTAAATAATTCCCAAGAACTTTTCAAGAAAGTGGCACTCAGCCAGGATATCCCTTTAGTGGAGGTCAAGGAGACACAACACATACTCCTCAAAATTCTCCAACCCTCTGCACGATTAAAGATTGTGCTCCCCATAAATGAAGCACTCCTAGAACCAGCTGACATCCTCTGGCAGACCCCAGCCTCTATCCTACCAACTTGCAAAAAGTCTGAACCTAAATATTATGTTCCTGCTAAGGACGTAGACTTCTTATTCTCCCATCCACAACCGAATTCTCTTGTAGTGGATGCAGCGACACACAGGATGAAATAGTCGCACTACCAGTCCACCCCTCAAGACAAGGACCTCAAACGCCTTGACCTCTTGGGCTGCAAGGTTTATACCTCCTCCACTGTGCAATTCAGAATTGCAAACTATTCTGCCCTACTTCCAAGCTACGACTTCGACAATTACAATAAACTCTTTGATTTTTAACTCCCATATCCCAGAGGACAGGAGAGCAGACTTTAAGTCCATCCTTGTCAAGGGCCAATTGGTCTCATCCGGTATCCCCAAAGACCTGCAGACCAAAGTGGAGGACCTCCCCTTTGATAAGATGATGGCCACATCAATGAGCAAATAACTACTCTTTGCTGCCTGGGGAGCCTGTATACCAGCCCCCACTGCCAGAAGAGCAGGGTCGGCTCCAGCCGAATTGCCACCGCAGATCGCGATCGCGGTTTTTTGTTTGTTTGGCTGCTTGGGGTGGTTAAAACCCTGGAGCCGGCCCTGCAGAAGAGCATTTGAATTTGGGGAGCAGGTCTTACCCTTACCTAGCAACACATTCTCACACTCCAGTGTGGGGAGTGGCCATCTAATATCTTTCTCTTTTGCCTCTGAAGAACGTAGAAAGGGTTGGAGAGGGATGATGTCTACCGGGCATCATACACCCCCAAAAAATGGTTACTGGCCTTTGTGGGTATGATCAGGACCTGTTTGGCTGGGAGGAGTGGTGGATTGGACCGGGGCAGGGCCTAAAGGGAAGGAAATATGCAAGAATTGTGTTCTCCACTATTTCCTGCCCCAAAACCAAGAAGTAGGAAGGGGCCCCCTGTGGTTCTGGATTGGTATTCTTTACAAAACTGCAGAGAGCAGCCTGGATCCAACTCACCAGTCCAAACCAGCAGCACGCTCCCAAACCTGCAAGGGGGGGGGGATGCTTTGTATTCTGTTTCAATTTGGACCCATCTATAGTAAATGCTCTATCTCCTCATCTCCCCTCCAAAAATAGCAAACAATTTTAAAAAATAGAAAAGTGTATCTTTGAGAACATGTGTCAATTTTCCATTAGCCTAAATCTAACCAGTTAAGCGTTTCAAAAATAAATGCTTGAATTTGCGAAACATAAAGCTCTGGCCACATGACCAGCTTTAACTCTGTTAAATTCCTTCACAATGGTTTTCTAACACGAGGTCACAGCACTTGCAGACACAAAGTAAAATTCTGGCCCCACTGAAGTTCATGGCAAAACTCTCAGTGACTTCAGAGAGCCAAGATATCACACTGTAGAACATGGTTTGCAAAGCGTATGCCAATCCTATGAGAACTAAGAGGAAAGCAAGGGGCTGAGGGCTAAGAGGGAGATTTTCAAATGTGCCTATGTGACTTTGGAGCATCAGTTCCAACAAGATCAATGGGACTGGTGCTCCTAAATCCCTTACCTGTTTTTCAGAATCCCACCCTTAATCTCTACCGTGCTGTAATAGGTCACCTACTACCTGGGGACTATGCTGACTTTACTAACATGGTTCCTGCAGGAGCCAGTTAACTGTGTCAATAAAAACACTTTCAGAGCCAGGTAGCTCTTCACTAGAGCAGACATCTCTTAAGTTTTATTTTTGGCTCGAGGACATGAAAAAATTGGCAAATGTATTTATTTTTAAAGTATGGTAGTGATGATCTTCCTTTTATTTATTTGGGAGGTAAGGGTGCCACAGACTTGCATTCATCAGCCTGGGTTTGATGGCTTAATAAGTAATTCAACGGGAGACAATAGTTATCCCAAACTTGATTTAAGCTGTAATCAGATTTCTGGGTCTTGCTGCATACTTTAGTCATATTAAATATAAATCCTTTTTTAACTAGCTGAGTTATACAGTTGGAGCATGGCATTAAACTGGAAATCATTGCCCTACATTACCAGAGACAGTATTGGGTAGTAGAGAGACCGTGGATTTGAGAACCAGGAGCTCTAGCGTCTACTCCTGTCTGCCACTGATTTGCAGAATGGCCTTGGGCAAATTACTTAAGCTCTGTCTCCATTTCCCCATCAATAAAATGGAGACAATACTTAATTACCTTCCTCACAGGAGCATTTTGAGGATTTAATTAATGTTCGTTGTGCTTTGAAGAAGTCACATGCCTATACAAGTGCTAACAACTTGTTGCAAACTTAGCCTACCTAGAATCCTATGTGGTCACCCTACATAAAACTGACCTGATTTTTAAAGATGTTAAGCACACACAACCCCCATTCACATCAGTGGGAGCTGCAGAAGCATGGGAAACTCCAGGTCAGGCATCTAAATATAAAGTTGGGTGTCTAAAGTTAGATACCCACATCTGGAAAAAGGAAACACATGTACAGACACATACTTGCAAATAAAACATCGTTTGCTTTTATTCATGTCCAGCTGAAGCCTTCAGAGATCTAATCAAAACCAGAAAAACGCACAGCAAGGTTTCTATCTAGTTTATCCTGGATGGTTAAAATGTGTGTAATTCTTATAGCTGTCAACAGCAACCTTACTAATATAAAAAGTGGCATAGACACCTTGTTCCTTTAACACCGATTGTCATCTCCTCCCCAATTGTTCTCCTGCCAGGTAATTTAAACAACCATATGCTTATCCACTGATTTTGGCGCCAAGGTCTGCTCTTTTTTTAGCCTGAATAGAAATTAAGCTGTTCAAATAGTACATTACTATCAACGATTCTGCCTATCCTGTTTCGCGATCCCCTGTGAAGAGGACCAGATGGAATCAATTCCTGTTTGCTCAGACACATTCAGTGGAATTTAAATAATCGGTTGCTAATTTAGTATTTTGAAGGGTAAAATTGCAGGCCTGCCCCATGATGAAGCTGCATGCTGTGCTACTGTCATGTTCTAAAATAAGCAGAAAACCATCAAAGATATTCTCCCAGGGAAGAGTAATAGAGCTAGAGAGAGGAGTTTAATTATGCATTGGACCCTCATAGTATCCAAATTAAGAGTAGATATTTTATAGAACAAATTACTTGAATGCTGCCATGTTAGAGAGAGCCTGTTATGAATGCTACGATATGTTCATGTTGTTTTCAACAAGTTTATGTATGCAATGATTGAGCTCTCCACTTAATACAAATGCTTTTGGCTTAGTCACAAATGCTCTTTGAATCTCAGTTGAACAGAAATAAAAACAGAAGGCACAGTGCTTCTATTAATGGGTATCGTGTGGCAAACTGCGCTGTGATAACTTTTTGCAGAAACATGAATCAAAGTTCACAGTGCACTCTGTGAAGTTTGAACAGTTCTATACATTATACCCAGGCAAGAAAGGGAACAAAACCAACAAGCAATGTGTATCATAACTACTAGTTTATTTAAGATAATTAGGTTGCTCCTTGGACATTTTGCTATCTTAAAGGTTCAATAATCAAAATTGTGTACATTATCCATAGGGCACATATATTTGATGCTTTCTAGCAAAGGTGTTCCTAGAAACATGGAGCTATTAGATATCTGAGAAGACTAGTACTTTGGATACCAGTCTGTTTGCCACATGGCTATTCACCATTTTTGGAAGGACTTCTTCCCAAGAATAGTAATCTAAAGAATTTAAAGGAATGAAAATGGTAAGTGGCTAGTAGTGTTCATGGATATGCTATTCTGCAAACATAGCAGAATAGCTCGAGCAGTACTTGTGAAATGCTGTCCTTTGATATTGTTTGGAGCACAGTGCTGCGTGTATGTGTAAGTAACAGGTACTCTGCATGCTGTTAGCTCAGAAACATTTACATTTTTCCAAATCCTTTTAACATTTCAATGTGTAGAATAAAGCCTGCTATAAGCTCTAGTATCGCTGCCATAATTAACTTGAGTGCTTACTTGGAAAACTTACAAGTTTCAGTTCTAGTAAAATGAAATGCACTTGCACCATATTACATGGGGAGGAAGATCCCAGTAAAGGAAACTATAAAATCAACACATTTAAAATGGGGAAAAAAATGAATTAGTGAAGTATTTTATTAAACAAATAGTTGATCTGTGGATTTCACCATTCAGTGTCACAGAAAATCATTTGAGGCCAATTGTTTAATAGAGGGGTGTGTGTACACACACACACACATGATACATATACACATGCATAAGAGAAAACTTATGGCTATGCTTCTATGGTAGGTTGAAAATTTATAGGGATATTCATTTTCATGCAAAGCCTACAGCAATTGCTCGTAGTTCTCATGAAGGACAGGATATCCTACTTGTCAATTCAGGATACCAGGCTAGATGGACCAATGTACTTCTCTGGTATGTTATACAAACCTAATACAACATCAGTTAATATATATATTTAGCGATAAGTATCCAATTGTAGTAATACAGCATGATCATTGTCTTTAAAAAGTGAGTTCTACTGGCAAGCAATGTGTTCCAGATGCTGGGATGATATTGTTTTTAAAATATAATTTTTCTACTCTTTTGGTTTACAAATGTTTTCTTGCAGTAGTCTTTCAAGTTAGACTCACACATCATAAGACCAAAAGGGACCATTGTGATCATTTAGTCTGACCTCCGTGTGCTGTTTTGTGTTCAGTGTTGAAAACTTTGATTATAAGTGCTTAGAGTAAAGGTAGGCCACACTAAAATCCTTTCTGTGAATACCTTGATGGGAATTCACAACTGGGTTTGAATTTTGTGACTCAAATCTCACTGCTTTTAAAAGCAGCATATCACTTGCTACTAAAGGTCATCTGATAAACCTTTAACCATTGACCTTTATCTAATTTTCTGTCCAAGATGAAGAAATTACCTTACCTGGTACATTACAGCTTACCTTTAAAACAGTCACCTGATGTAATGTGTTCCTCTGTAAGGCCAGTTTGACTTCAAGCCAAGGCCTGTATGTCCTTTGGTCATGGATTTTTTTAGTGGCTGCATGCCCCAGTGATGGGATGTGTAGATAGGGAATCGGCTGCCTCATGCAGCCGGCAGAAGGTGACACTGACCTTTCCTACAAATTGCTAGTGACTTTCTGTACTCTTCCATCTCCTTCTTTCCACCTCCTGCAGGGGAACAGATACTCGTAAAGACCAAAAATCATATTTTACACCCTGTTATGCAGGTGGCACAGTATAAACTTATAAGGTCGTTTTTTTCATAAAGCCCTGGCAGGAAATATTCTGGAGAGGAATTTTTAAAAACTCATCCTCGGTGAAACATAAACGTCAGCTAAAATGTTCTTTGGACTTGAACAGTTATTTATTGACATAATATTTAAATACTATATTAAGCACAATTAATTAAGAAAAATACATTGCACTTTCTGTCTGAAGATCTATTACTGATTTATAGACATTAATTGGTTTAATTGCACAATTCCCCTGAGTGATAGGTTGATAAATATCGCTAACTCCATTTTACAGACTGGGAAGAATTAGGTTCATATAAATTGTGACTTTGCCATAGAGTTGCTTTGTCAACTCTGTGTTTCTGTGTTTCGCTCCCTTTTGATCCATAGTTTTGGTGGGTAGCAGAGCCTTACTGGACCTAAAATCCTTAAGCAGTGAGGCTCCTGGATCTACGGACCGATATATTATGCAAATCTCTCATCCTGGGGCCCTGACCCTCAGACTGGTATATGTTGTATTTGAATCTGCCTCTGGTTCCATCCTTAAGATCTCACTTGCTTTTCCCCTGCTTTGAAGTACTTTAGTTACTATGGAAACAATGTCACTGGCTTGGGCTTCTAAATCTTGAATATATTGAGGTTTTAGTATGTGTTTTCTTCCCTCACTCATGCACATACACTATCTTCTCTATTGCTCCTACACTATACTTCGTCTGTAGCCACCTCTAAGAAATGGTGCTGAACAGTCTAATCATTGCCATTTCATCAAGCCAAATACTGGGATACTTCAGTATTTTGTTCATGTTCATGCTGGAAACAATGAGATTGCTTTCCTTGTAGTGCTTCTCCTGATAGGAATCTAGCCTTATTCAAATCATATTTGAGGCTAAAGAAGAAAGTCCCAATATTTTCAATTTGTTTATTTTTTTAAAAAATAGACACGTTTGGACCTGTTACATTTATACCAAATACAAGTGCAGAGCCCTTTTATTTAAAGTGCCAATCAAATTGTTTCTGTTGTGAATGTTCCAGATTGCAAACTATATGTAAAATAGAAGGATTTGGCTGCAATTTTCTTTTTAAACATCCAATTTCACAGTGCCTGTATTGTGTCTAGCTCTGTTCAAAGACACACAGAAATTAGTTAAGCTACAGGTAAGACTGATGACAGTTACTTATGGCTAAAAATAAAATGTGTTTTTTTTGTGGTTTTTTTTAATTCACACTTAAATTTAAAAGAACCCCCAATCATGCTTACAATGGAAAGTAAGTTTGAACCTGGAAGTCTCCATAATAAATTGATCAACTGATATGGCACAGAAACTATTTTGTAGGCACCATTTTTCAACAAAAACTTGTTTTGTGGGGTGCCACTTCAAAGAACGTAAGCTACCGAAACTGTGACGTAAATGCTGTTGTTAATATTGTTTGATTAAGAAGCTTGTGGAATGTGTTAGCATTGTTGCACTTTGTGGAACAAAAGGAGCAATGACCTCTTCATGAAAAGAATGTTGAGGATAAGCTGATTGGTACCTTATCAACTTAGTTATTGTAGCTATGCCAGCCAGACATGTTCGCATTACTTAGACATGCTGTGTGGTGGTATTTATACTCAGACAGAGGTGTTTTAAGATTGATCTGTGACCTCATCTGGCAGAGGTAGCTGCTGCCCATTCCTTAGAATTGAGAATAAAGTTTAATCCCACCTTTGAGAAATTCACTCTTTTAAAATGTCTCCTCCACAAAATATTTTGGAACCATGTTGAAGCTAGATAATAAGGATCCTATTATCATTATAAGCTACTGTTTTGCCTTGTCCGGCAAAGAATGTTAATGAAAATACGTTTCATTGTTGTATTTATTTGGCACCTGTACACTCACTCACCCACCTGTTCTTTAGGCTAATGATTAACGACTGCATACTTTGTAGCTGATACTGTTCTTTGAAATATTTTTGAATTTTGATTTGAACTGTCGACTAGTATTTTTGAAAAACACAGCACAGGAGGTTTGAGTATAAATTGTGAGCATCCAGAAAACTCTGGTGCGCTTAAAGCCATGTTTGTGCAGGAGGGAAAATTTCTAATATAGCAGTTAATCAAAAATATCCTTTAGTTAACTTTCAGAGGTATTAGTCTGATAGGACTGGCCCAAGAAGTCTTCTGTCACTACAAATAGCAAAGCTTCCAAGTTCTGAACCACCATTATGATGATGTGTCTAGGAAACTGCTCTCTATTTTGAGTTGATTGGTTATCATCATGTTGTTTGTATCATGCAACTCTAAAGAAAACAAGAAAAAAAATTAAAAGGCAAGCAAATGGGGACCCTTTTCTGTGTTAATCTCTTTCTTCCATACTTCCTGTGGCAGTTTCAGTGAAACTGGAATGGTAACGAGACAGATAAATTCAAGTAATGGGTTGACAGTACAAACCTGTGTGAGGGGAAGGAACACACTAAAATGTCCAGCTACAAAAAAGAGGTCAGGGAGTCACAGAAGAGGATGGAACTCAAAAAAAAAAAAAAAAAAGGGGGGGTGGACAGAGGAACAGGAGATCATGGCTAAGGAAAGAAAGACAATGACTGGTGAGCATGGAATTAAAGGGAGAGATGAAAGGACTGGGAGTGCTGGCACAGCAAGAGAGAAAAACAGGAGGGTGAGATGAATGGGAGCTCATTAAATGCATCTTTCTGTGTCTAACATAACTGAGTAATGTGTCATTCAGTTATTATAGGTCAAATAGTTTGTGTACCTAACATATTGCTAGTGGAAAAGTTTTCTCCTAGATTTCAGTTTTCTCATTTATATAATCCATGATGTACCATAATAAAGAAAAAATTAGGCAAAAACCTGTTACTGAAAAATCAGTGCAATTTTCATTTAAATCTTTTCCTTTTACTTTTAACTTCTCCTAGTGTATTCAGGTGATGGTAGCACAGTCGAAGAAAAGTCCCCTCTCACAGAACGGATCTGTCTTGCATATCTGCATTCCTTCATGGACAAGTGCAGAATCTAAAATAAGAGTTCCAGAGTGTAGACTTCCTCATTGAGCAGACATGCAATTTGGCCAAGATTTGAAGAGCAGAGAGCGAGAACTAGTCAGAGTGCACTGAGTCTCCTGACATCTTATCTAGCACAAGGTACAAATGGGAAAATTAAGTAGGAAGGGGCACCAGGCCTTGCAATTTTATTGTATTGTCTATTAAAGTTAGATCCTTGAATATGTATAAAAATGAAATGTTTGTCGTAGGTGGGATGTAAAGAATTCAGCAAAATGAGCAAAAGTTTCTTTGGCCTGACTATCCCATTAGTCATTGGTAAAGTCACTTTGAATGCAGCTGACAGGATAATCAGGCACTTTATTTCTGGGATTTTGAGATCACCACATAAATCTCAATTTGGAAGAGCAAATAAAGAATCATGAGTGAATTGTCAGGTCATTCCACACAAGAGAAAAATCTAAAGCTTCCTGAAAATGGATTTTGTAAAAAGTGTATTTTGTACAAGAAATTATTTCAGTCACTTTAGTAGACTCATGCTGCTTCCTTTTCAGACAATAATTATTGCAGATAATATCTAAGGACCAAACTTGGGTCATGATCTCCATGTATATTGCCCTCAACCCATGTACACTGCTCCTATGGTTCAAAGGATGTTATAACACTGATAGAGAGTACTTGCATTGCTCTTTGTGGATGACCTATTACTTGCAGTCTAGCAAGGCTGTTATGCTCTTTCAGGGACATAAAATATTTCATTTATGAATCCTCAGTGGTATGTATGTTTAATATAGAGAAGGATCCCAAAGCTCTTTACAAACTATGCAGGGATCACTCCACCCACAACTGAATTAAAATCACTCAAATGCAATAAAAGTTTAACAGTGCACTGCAACACATTGCAACAGTTTAGGACAGTAAATTAAGTGGACTATTTCATATCCAACTGAAACTGCAGATGGAACTTTAAATAGAATATATTTACCCAGCTTGTAATTTTTCTGGGTTAACACACATACTTATAAAGAGGACTTCAGTTTAACATCTCAGTTGGAAGACTGCAACTCTAGAAACAATGTCCTATAGTTCCATCCAGTCATATTGGTTGATTATTTCCTGCAGCATGTTAGTGTACTCTGGAAACCTCCCATCCAAATAGTGACTTGGACCAACCCATCTTATGCCTGATGAACTCATACTATAATCAATTGGGGTTTGCAGTGTTGTTGTAGCTGTGTTGGTCCCTGGATGCTTGAGAAACAAGGTGGGTGAGGTAATACCTTTTATTGGACCAACTTCTGTTGGTGAAAGAGACAAGCTTTCGAGCTACACAGAGCTCGTCTATCTTGTCTCTCTGTCCAGTGATTGAGGGGTACATTTTACTAGCCCAGTTTTTCTCAGGACAGATATTCAGTTCCATGTTACTAAGAGAAGATTGGGTAGAAATGTAGCTGAGTCATTTGTATCTGACCTTTTGATGTAGGAAGTGTCCTGTCCCAAAACTGTGTGTGTTCTCCCTTGTTTTTGTCCCACAACAAGATGAAGTTGGGAACTGTGGTAGTGTTAGCCTGCCCTGCTAATCTTCATATTTCCCATGCAAACTCAGCAAATAATTGTCTGGCTTCTGCTAGAACTATCACGATTTAACTGTCCTTGTTGACTTCTGTTTTCATGCAGATTATGGCCCACGTGGTTTGACCAGGCATGGTTTCTGTATCAACACCATACATTATACGGTAGGTCAGCATGCTCAATATCACTATTGGGTTGGGTTTAGAGATTAAAGGAATGAGAACTGCGCGCACACACACAAGAGGCTTATCTTTTCTAAACTGAAGTCAGGGCATGATTCATTCTGGTCCAGCCAAGTAGATGGCTGGGTTTCAGGCATCTCTAAAAGATAATCCTGACTAGCCAGTGGCCTACTCTGTCAGTGGCCTAGTGGGACATGTTTTCTTTTGTCCTTTACTATGTATATGGCATATCCTGAACCATCTGTCCCCATACACAATACATATGTTACAGAGTAGACCCAAGGTTAGTGAGAGATGAAAATGTTGAATATCAATCATGCTCCATATCTGGTGGGCTAACTCGTACAGAATTTTAGACATAACGGAGAACGTGTGAATGAGAAGAGAAGCATCTGGATGAAGCTTCAGACAAGAGAATTGATGACTGATAGATATGGAGAACTCTGTAGAGGACATAGTACAGATGGTATATGCCCCTTACTTTATTATGAGGGATATCTCTACTATGCCAAATCTATAATTATGAAGAGAGTAGGGAAATATTTTCACTAATTTTATTTTTCCTCTGCTCAACATAATGATTTCTCGGAGATCAAACTGAATAACAAACATCAATCTTCGTGGCTGGCCAGCAGAACTGATATGTCCCTTCTACATGTAGTGGGGCAGGATTTGGGGGAGCCCACACAGTGGGTGGACAACCTCTTTGCACCGTGGAGCCCAAATCCATGGAGAGTCCTTGCTTTCTTCTACACAGTGGTGATTCTGGGACAGATTGAGGCTGGTTTGGTCTGTCACTGTGTGGATCCACAAGCCTTTGTCCACCCTGTCACATGCATGGAGGAGTCACAGAGGCTACTCCAGCCTTGACATTGAAGTAGCAATCACACAATGACCTGATCTCAGAGTTGCTTCCTCAATCTCAAGCCTCAAAGGAGCTCCCCAGTGCAAACTGCAGCTACTTGGACTTTGTGTTGGTGTGATAGTATTTTGGCCAGTCAGGCAGAACCTTACTTTTATAATGCTAGTTTTATGAATCTATATACATTCAGACATAATGCACATCAACAAAAGACAGCACAGCCTTTCTTTGGGGCTTGTCTCTAAATGAAATTATTCCTGAGTAGTTATTCTAAAGTAACAGTGCCTTGTTTCTCTTTATCTTAATGCAAAGTGGATTAAGCTAAACAGGAGCAAGGCACTCCTATTTCTGTAGAAGAGTGCCACACATGGAGTTATGTAGGAATGATTGTTGTGCTTTAAATTCATGCACAACCTTAATTGCAAGTGTAGACCAGCCCTAATTTACTCTTTTTTTTTCCCCCCCATATTTGGGGCTACTGTCAGTCTGCACAGTGCTTCTAGCTATATGGTGGGGAATTTGGTGTTTTTCAGATGAGCAATATATTTGGATCATTTAGTAGGACCCCCTCACGTTTTTCACATTATCCTGAGATAAAACATTGTCATTGGCTTTGGTATCAGAACCTAATCTCTCTTGAATTTGAGTTTCCTAATTGACCCTGTTGCACTTTGGCTCTATTTCACCAAGCCAGCTCAGTGTCATTATTCTGAATGTGATGGTGGCACAATTATAACTAGGACATTTTCTTTCTCATGATGAATGATCCTAGTCAGACTTTAAAGTATTGCCTTTATCAATAATGGAGAGTGCCAGGATTTTATTTTTTGGAAATATTTTCAGTTTTTTTTTTCTTTTAACGATGCAGAGAGAGTGATTCCTGTGTTCAACAAATTGATTTCCTTTGTGACCATGGTATTAATCACCAAAATTCACTGTAAGCAAGAAATCTCAGCTATATTATCTTTTGAAATAGCTATAATTTTTTTTGGGGGGGGACAAAGAGACCTATGAAATGTAATGAATTTTGCTGGTCTTTCTATAATAAAAATACAATTTCTTTTCTTTGCCTTGGTTTAAGCTATACTAGGGGGCATTCTTTTCTGAATTCAGTCCAGCTAATTGATTTTTAACTAACAAATATTGGATCACTTTAATTGTTTTCTGCACCAAAGTCAAGAAAGCTACTAAAAATCCCATCTGACATTCAGAGAATAAAACAAAATGAATATCAAAGTCATAATATTGTCCTTATAGAATGAAAGGGACTAAAGTAACTAGGCATACTGTTATGAAAAGGAGTCTTAAAGCATTCACAAGTATAGGAGGAGGAATTTTGGAGACTTCTCTAGCCTTTGCATCATCCTCAGAAACCTGAAAATCTCAAGATTCCAAGAAGAAAAGGGAGCAAGACAACAGATCCCACAGATGCTCATACTACTTTGCCATATTGGCAAGAGCAAAAGGTATCTTGCTCCCTAAGGGAGATCCTGGGAAAGTTCTAGAAGACACGTCACAGAAGACCATTGGAAAGACACTCTAGTGTACAAGTCCAAAGTAATCAGAAACCCTCTTTTGGAGATGATTATTGCACCCTTAATGTATTTCCCTGATTGTGCAAAATATTATAGAAAATAAAAACAATGAAAAGTCTGATGGGCATAAGCTTTTGTGGGTAAAAAACCCCACTTCTTCAGAAGTTTTTTACCCACAAAAGCTTAAGCCCAAATAAATCTGTTAGTCTTTAAGGTGCCACCTGACTCCTCGTTGTTTTTGTGAATACAGTCTAACACGGCTACTCCTCTGATTATAGAAAATGGAGCTTTTCAGATTGTAAGAGTTCTTGTGCTAAATTTTTCTTGGCATTTCCACAGACAGACCCTGAAAGTGTGGCCTTTTCCAAATGGTGGGATGGACCCTTGTCTCAGGAAGTAATTCTGAGTTCAGGGCAGGGGTTGCTTCCTAGCTGGGGAGAAAACTGATTTGGTAAGTGGCAAGAGGAGAATTACCTTTGTACCATCTGCCATTGATGAACAGATGTGGTTCTGTTGCTACTGAACTCACACTTGTGCCCATTATACATGGCTCAGCCTGGCTTTGCAGACTCACCAAGAAGCAGACTTTGAGGTCACAAAACAAGATGATTATGCTGTGGAACTGTTCTTAGGACACAAGAAAGCCAAACAAAGGAACCCATACAGATGCCCCTTAATAGCATACTAATGGAATATTTCTAAAAATGTCTGGTCTGTGTAACAGGGTTTAGAGGTCTTTGTGGAGAGGGGATGCTGTCACTGTGAGAGACAGAAAGTGGTTCTGGTACATGATCAGGTGTTATAAAGAAGCTCATGCTGCCGACTAGCATTAGAACTGACCCCAATCTTCCATGAGTAGGGTGGGCTAAAGCTCTATTTCTTCATTAGAATTTTTCTGCCTTCCTCTCACTACCATATTTTTCTCTGCCTCTTTCTTCAGTCTATCCTAGACAGAATCCAACCCACTGTTGGCTGAGATCTAATTTCACTTTCAAACCTACAATGTTTGAGTGAGTATGACTCAAAAATCTCTTACTCCTAACTGGCAAGGGGATTACAGGGATCTCCTGAGTTCACCAAAGAGTGACATGTTAGGTCTCAAATAAAAGCCAGGGTCACACTGGTCATCAGTATCATCGCAAAATTCATGTGTAAATGCTGTGTAAGTAGTTGTCTACACTGAAAACTCTGTTCCTGAAATCTCTGTCAAGGGACTGGTCACCAGCAAAGGTGACAAACAGATTTTTCTGTCAGACAAGAAAGATTTATCTATCTGGCTGTTTAAATGTAAATTAAGTATTATATATTTCACAATGGATTCTCTCACCAGTCTGAATTGAATGTTAATAAAGGACTGTGAAAACTTCATAGAGAGAGAAGTAACAAGAAGAAAATACTGGGGAGGGAAGAGAGGTGGAGAACCCGATCTTGAGGTGCACATCAAAGGTTTACTTTAGTATATTTGAGAGAGAAAGAGAACACCTTGTCATCCTTCACCTAGGAATTAAATGGACAGCAAGTTTACTTCATGAAAGCGGGATCTCAGCCAGACTTGTTTGAAAATGCTGGAAAGAACATTGGGTGAGTTAAGCTGCTTTAAACAAGAGGATAACTTGTCAGTTAAGCCTCCAGAAAGCATGTTATGATTTTATTTTATATGTAACAATTTGTTTCCAATATCCTTACGGTCACTTGAATCTATGCTCTCTTGATAATAAATGTGTTCCTGTTTTCATTATAAATACATCTAAGTGCTGTGGTGTTAAGCAAAGTCGTGATCCTGGGTTGAATCTTAAAAGTTGGTGTGTACTGTTCCTTTGAGAACAGCAGACCAGGTAATTCTGTGCACGTTCAGTCGATAAGGGGCTGGACCATAGACACGGACTCCATAGGTGCTCTGGGGTGGGAGCACCCACAGGAAAAAAATAGTGGGTGCTCAGCACCCACTGGCAGCCCTGTGGATCAGCTCCTCCCGCTCCCCGCCCAGCGCCTCCCACCCGCCACGGATCAGCTGTTCAGTGGTGTGCAGGAGGCACTGGAGGGGAAAGGGAGTGGGGGAGGAATGGGGGTGGAGGTTTGGGTAGAGCAGGAGCAGGGTTGGGGCTTGGAGGAAGGGGCGAGACCTGGGGCAGAGCGGGGGTCAAGCACCCCCAGTATCTGAGTAAGTCGGTGCCTATGGGCTGGACACTGCAGGGGCTGCGCTGAGGACTTTGGGGTTGGTGCGTGCATGTCACACCAGAGAGCAAGGCCTGTGGAGGCCTGGAAGGCACTGCCTGTGCTGCCAGAGACTGGTGATTTACGGGCGTGGAGCCACAGTAGGCACAGACAAGACTTCCTCCACACCAAGAGGAAGTGGTGGTGATGTGCCTAATAACTCTGGGTACCCTTGGGGAGTGTGTCTGTGGGTCTGAAGTTAATCAAAGTTAGCTAATGTACTGTAACCTTGTTAAGTGTTAAAAATAGCAAAAATATCCAAAATGACATAAATGACTCCTTTATCCATTGCACAAGATATAAGGAGTGAGATCCTGCCCCTGACTGAAGTCAGTGGGAGTTTTGCCGTTGATTTTAGTGGGACCAGGGTTTCACCCAAGAGGTACAATTTGATGGGGAAACCTCAAGATGTTCAAAGATTCTCTTTACTTCAGATAAGAACCTTCAAGGTTGGATAGTTAAGAGAACTAGCCTACGTTTTCTGTTGTGCAGATCAGGACTGGAAGTCTTACAAAGGCTGGCTGTCCCACAAGACTTTCTCGTGGTTTCGTATCTGATCATTCTGGCAACACCATGAAAACAGCCTTTATTACAGTATTTTGGTGATTGTTTCTAGTCATAGCTGGTTTGGTTTACATTCAGATTTGTTTTAGTGATAATTGGGAATCCCGGGGACAGGGAGGAGAGTGGGGGGCATGAGAAGATGTTTTCTTGTTTTATTGGAACCACTCATTCACCTGGAAGAAGCTTTGTTCTGAAAACTTGCTATATTTTGGTTAAACTGAAACTTTACCTGAAGTATTCATTTGGGGCATGGTGGGGAGAAAGCCTAGTATATCAGCATTCTATACTATATGATAGGTGTTAAGACCAGAAGGGACGACCTGCACATTCCAGGCCACAGAACCTCACCCACCCACTCCTGTAGCAGGCCCCTAACCTCTGGCTGAGTTACTGAAGTCTTCAAATCTTTCAGGTAACAGAGAAATCCACTTTTTACTCTAGTTCAAACCAGCAAGTGACCTGTACACCATGATACAGAGGAAAGTGAAACCCCCCCAGGGCCTCTGTCAATCTGACCCCAAGTATGGAAATCAGTTAAACCCTGAACATGTGGGTGAGAACCACCAATCAGACACCTAGAAAAGAATTTATCGGTAGTACCTGAGCTCTCCCCATCTAGTATCCAATCTCCAGCCATTGCAGATATTTGCCAATAGCAGTCACATATGCACCATACATCGTTGTAGGCAATCTCTTCATACCATCCTCTCCATAAACTTATCAAGCTCAGAATTGAAACAAGTTAGTTTTTTGCCTCCCATCACTTCCCTGGGAAGGCTCTTCACTCCTCTGCTGGTTAGAAACCATCATCTAATTTCAATCCTAAACATATTGCTGGCCAGTTTATATCCATTTGTTCTTGTGCCAAAATAGGCCCCTAACTTAAATAACTCCTGTCCCTCCTGGGTATTTATCCCTCTGATGTATTTATAGGAAGCAATCATATCTCCACTCATCCTTCTTTTTGTTAGGCTACGCAAGCCAAACTCCTCAAGTCTCCTCTTGTCTGGCTATGTGATTTCATACTTATTTTTCAGAGTAGCAGCCGTGTTCGTCTGTATCCGCAAA